TAGACAAACGTGGAATAAAATAGGTGCTGGATGTTTTGGTTTTGGTGCTGAATCAGCAAACAGCAAATACGGAGTTCAACTAGACGATCTGGCAACTTTGGGCTGTGTGGAAGCAATTAGGTGCCAGATTCAGATATTAGGGTCGAATAAGCATTTTGGGGCTGATCAGCAATTAGGTGCCAGAAACAGCTTTTTAGGGACCAGAAACAAATATTCCCCTCAATAATTTAGCACCAAAAAGATTAGTTCGTTACAAATTCCTACAGATACAAGCATCTGGAGACATTAATATTTACTAAGTTAGGAACATTTTTGGCAAGACGGGCATCAATAGCAATCGAGCAAACAATCGAGCCGAGTAGTCACCGAAGACCTAGTCTGTGAATGAGAGGGCAACTATTCAAGCGCCACAATCCTCTAAAGACCACATCCGTGTAAAAAAAACAGTAAAATAATGCAGGTTAAAAAAGACTCAAAATAGACATGGCGGTATGGATGTGACGATTCACCAGGTACACAGGCTGGAAATGCTAGGTATTGGCCTAGAACAGCTCTGCCAGCAACCGGTTCAACGCGTTCGAGATGATTCGAGATAACTTCGCACACGCAGATTAACAAACAAACACATTTCCTGCACCGTATCAACAGGTGCAAAAATCCTTGACCTCCAGCTCTCGCAGGTGCAGGAATGTTTCCTGTTGACGAGCGAGTGTTTGTGTATGGTTGCAAGCCAAACCCCCAGCCAGCAGCGCCCACCCCACTGCCTTGTCTCTCCACCTCAACTGCGGCAGTTACTATCCCTCATCCCCTCACCATCTTTTCTTCCACTCACCCACACACCCTCTAGCCGCCGTCTCGCTGCCGAGACACGCCACAGAGTGCCAGCCGATGGACCCAAACTCGGCGCCCATGGCTGCCTACTGACTGGACCACGCCGGCCCGCCTAGCACTGCCTCTAATAAAGGCCCGGTCACACACACATGACGTACCGCCGGCGCAGACCGGCGCATTGCAAAAAGACCAGTGCGTCGTCGTGCGTTGATGTGTGACCAACTTTTGTCAAGAGTCAGCAGGAAATAGCAGCTTTACAACGAATGCACAACGCGCTGCAAGCGCTTTGCCAGCGCGCCGGGCGTATACAGGGCACCTACATAGCGAATACAGAGCGCATAAAGTGCGCACACACAACGGATGCACAGCGGCTTGCTAGCGCACGGGACGCATGGATCGCGCGTACACCGCGCATTCAACGCACAGTCAGCGAACTTCACTTTGCAGCGGCGCAGTGGTCCGTCTTGCCTGTTGTCATATCAGTAGGACTAGGACGCCAAGGAGGGCACATCCTCATCGGCCCTCCATGGAATTTGAAGGGATATCAAGATGCCTCCCAAGGCAAAGGGACGAAAGGCGACCTGCACGAAGAAAAACACTAAATTCTGGCATCAAGAGCAGGAGGAATTGAAAGGAGCCTATGCACTATGCAGCAATGACGCAGAAGAGTTGCCCATTAGGGTAGAAGGAGAAATGAGGAGGTAGGGCGGGACCGTAGACATACGCCAGACGAACGCCGTGCGCGCTACATACTCGTTCAGCTCTTGTTTATCACGCCTTTATAGTCTATGCGTATCCGTTAGACATGCGTTAGAGGCACGTTATGTCCGCGCTAGGTATTCGCTACGCATCAGCCGACGAGCACACAACGAATACCCAGCGTGTGTTCCGCGTGTATCTGGCGCTGGCCCAACGCGCTCCGCGTGTGTCTGGCGTTCCTCTTCGTGCGTCGAGCTCAACGCACATTTTTGAGCATGCACAAAAATTGTCGACGCACGCAACGAATGACGACGCATGATACCGTTGGCCCAGCGCACTCGACGAACGAGTAACGAATGCATAGCGCAGGACGACGCACTGACCTAAATGAATGAATTTTTGGTGCGCGGGCCGTGCGTCGTGTATGTGTGACCGGGGCTTAACGCCCGTGTAACGGATTCAGCCGGGTCGCATATACAGCTGCTTTTCGTGCCACCCATGAGCGCCTTGCATGCCGCCCATGGCTGCCTCTTGTCCCGCCCATGGCAGCTTATGTTGACCGGACCCCGCCGGCCCGCCTACCTCTGCCTCTCATAACGCCTGTTCATCGGACACAGGCGTGCCGCCCATGGCCGCGTGTTGTGGCGCCCATGGCTGCCTCTCGCCCCGCCCACGTCTGTCTCTGTTGACTGACGCGGCGCTGTCTGTCTGGGCCATCTCCGACTGAGAGGCCGCCCGCGGAGTGACAACAGAGGACATCGACAGGAGCGGGAGAGCCGCCGACAGGGACTCAGAAACACAGACGTCACGCCACCGAGCAGCCCGCTGCGGCTCACACTCTGCTGAGGGAATGATGTGGGCACGGATTAGCTACAGCTATAGGATATAAAATCCATGCTACGGTAAGAGAAACTTTATCATGCAGCAAGCATATTTGCGGCTAGGATTTGGAATTGAGCACCAGTTCTTTCTCTCGTAATGTCCCGTATTTTTCGCAAATCAGCTACAAAGCCACCTACTTTTTTGCAGATTTTCATGAGCATTTTGCTATTCCGAGCACAGATACTTTCCTGATGATAATGCTTCCGTTTGCAAGTTTTCTATGAAAATCTGTGTCGGTCCCTGGACCAACTCATCTTACTGCATTCCGATCGCTTCTCCAGTAATCCACTCCCGGAAGCTCAACCAGTCGACATGGCCGGTCGTCACTGTCCAATCTCACCGCCGCGGCCACATGCACGGTGACTCATCAAACGATCATCAGCCGCCCGACACGACCTGGTAGACCGGGTCCGGGTCATCGCACTAACCGCCTCAGCCGCGGCCGTGCCACCGCACCATCCCATCCAGAACTGCGTGCATCTCATTCAGAGCTGATCGGCCCGGGCCAATCCGGGGAAACCCCTATTGTCCACAGACCTACATGGTTCGGCACGTGGCCAAGGATGACGGTAACTTGGAGTACTGTGCTGACGGGAAATCGCAGTCCCGCGTTTAGGAGAGGTGGTGCGCGACATCGCATCTCAGGGGATGACCGATGAGGGAGGAGACATTATTATGTCTCAGCACGACTGAGAACGTCATTGGTCATGACGAACGCTGAACCTCGCTGGACTCTAGAACCATCCAGGTTGAACAATGGGCAGGCACGTTCCGAAAAATGTTGGTCAAATGACTGCCGGATGTAAGGTACATTTTGCAAACAGGTGTTCATTCATAGGCTGTTTGAGCTATTGCCTAGAATAGCCAAAACGGGCCAAAACGGGAAAAAGAAGAGATTATTATAGTACTGATTTCTCTATCATCTTATAGATACACTGAGAGTGAGAATAACATTTAATTCTCGTTTACCAGTCTTATACCTAAAAGCACTAGCATAATTTCATCCCTATAGGCCTTGCTGGCGATGCATATCACGCATTAAGTCTGACACAGTTGAATCAACGTACGCGTAGGATCTGCCCGTCCGACTTTTTCCAGTGTTCTGAGGTCTGCAAGACTATCCCTCCAACGGAAGTAGGAAACACTCGGGAATGGAAAACATTCAACTCCCGATTGAGATCCACTCTGACGGGTAGCGGCTCTACACTAGCGCCTTTCGTCTTCTTTCGTCACTCGCTGTTGTAACGCCGCGCTTGATCCCGCCGCTCGAAAGTGACGTCACTCCTCTATGAGCGTCACTCAAACGAACCAGACGGGGATGATCGAATGATGAGCATTGATGAACAGGCCGTTCTCCGAACCAACAGCCACAGTATCGGAGCCGAGCCAATGGCAGTGAGGCGCAGCGAGCAGAGCGGTATTTCCAGGTCCCCCCCCCCTCTCCAGTGGTAGTCACATGCGGTCATTCCCGGCGGCTAAAATAGCCTTCCAGAGTCGTCTGAGTCACACCACGGCCCCTGCAGCACTGCACTGAGGACGCCAGAAGTGCCGCGATGGACGGAAACGAGCCGTGAAGGCGGGGCGGCCGGCTGACACGGGCCGTGCAGCTGCAGCCCACTCAGGGAGGACCGTGCGTCACAAACTCACGTGGACAAAGGCGTCGGGACTGCCAGGAAAGGTCACCCAACTTAGGCTGGATGGATGGATGAAGATTCTTGGCTGGATTATGACTGGATCGTGGCATTGGTGAGCAAACTAAAGCTCTAGCACTGCGTCGTAGAATCATAACAGCCCGGAACCCACCGTATTTCTGGACATTACTGGGGAGAATATTCAGGCGTTTTGCTAAATTATGAATTCCAGAGAAGCCAGCTCGTTTCACGGCCATTCCCGTTTAAACAGGCCGGCAGCAGCGCCGTTCTGGCCCATAATTTGCGCCGCGTGTCCGGCTGGCACCGTCGGAGGGTCGGGCCGGCCACTGGGCACGCGCTGTCTCCTGGAGTGGGGACGGTGCCAGCAGCGACAGGGGCCGCCCCCGGCGGACGGCCCACCTGACCTCACCGACCCCCGCACAGGGACTCATGATTGGCACGGGACAGGCCGGGATGACGTGCCCCGGGGCAGACTCTTTGTTGGCTCCTGGGACGGTGCGCGGTGGGTGTGAACAACGGTAAGGCCTCGCTAGGGAAACGAGGACACCACATTCACGGAATATACCGCGAGAAAGACAGAGGTTTCATATGCAGAAACATGTGAGGGATTGGCACAGCCATGACCCATGTGATGAGGATTACCAGAGACAACGGCCGACAACGCTACACAGAACACAACCAGCCACACTGGATAGATAACTGTATCACCAACGTACGACGAGCTAAAATGTCATGTACGATATGATCAGCTGGATTAAAACTGCGTGAGGCCAAAAAGCTTCTTACAGAAACGGTTAACGTCAGGGAGAACTGACCTTCAAAAACATCCACAACTAAATCGACGCGACAACCATATCCGTCCTTACAGCCTCTTATCCCCTATCCCGTACCCCGACCACCATAATCACAGGCCCATCCGTCCGTCGGGGCACTGACCTTGAATATGACGTCCGGTGGGATGCAGTGGACCATGAGCTCGTAGAGTCGGGCGCGCACCTCCATCAGCCGCTTGGGCGACTGCTCCTGGACGATCATGGCGGCCGTCTCCTGCAGGAACTGCTCCCAGTCGGGCTCGGAGACCGACTGGGAGGCCGACAGCGGCACCCTGAGGACAGGTCAGGTCAGGTCAGGGAGGTTTCAGGTTACAGAACATCGCACTGCCGCCAGCAGACGGGTCGAGGTTAGGTCAAAGGGGATAGTCAGGTCACGTCAGGTCAGATGTCAGGAGGCTAGGGTTTCTCTGGAGTACGGTGTCGTGACGCCAACTCACAGGCAGGTGCTGGGGTTAAGTCATCTGCCACTCAGTGGCTTTCTTCTGCTGCCGCGCCGGTCGGGTCGTAGTGAAACCGCCCATTGAGACTGATTTATGTGATTGTGGTGCCCTCCAAATCGTGCGTAAGCCCGTCCATGGTCCCTGCTGGAACCCTGCTTCCCTTATCGCCACAACACTAGGCAATGATGAGTTGGGGTTTGGATGACTGTGCAGGTCACCGCCGCCCAAGTGCCGACACCGTATGTAAATCGTAAAATGCAAGATGGATGAGGATTCCGTTTGGAACCGCTGTAGGTTGGGCTACGCAAACGATTCCCTGCGAAATATGCCCTAGCTGTACGAGGGGCGTTCAAAAAGTTCTCGGCCCAACCATGAAGGAGTTGGAATTTCGGCCTGCAACGCGGTGTGTTCAATGATGTGTTATTGGGATGTCCACTTACGTAGCCATTAACCAATCTGCCCTGTGATTGGTTCAGGCTGCCAATTAATCGTAGCATAGTTTGCTATTCCCGGTCAGAATGGGCGACGCCCAGAAGAGAACAGTGATTTGGTTCATGTATTGCAGAAAAATGCACCAAACGTTATTCACGAAAAGCTAGTGCCAACACATGTTGAGGTTTGTCTTTCTTACAGTAGCGTCAAAAAGTGAGCATCTCTGTTCAATTTTGGTCAACAGATCATTAATGGTCACCCCCGCAGTGGCCAGCCATCAACAGCATTGACTCAAGAAAATATGAAAAATAAGCACTTCTTTGTGAAAAATGACAAATGTTCTGGTCTGAAACAACGCAGCAGAAGCGGAGGTGTCTATCAGGCTCTTCAAAGCCATTCTTCGACAGCGTATTAATATGTTTAAGATCTCTGCAAGATGCATCCCCCGTTTGCTGACACCAGAGGAAAGGGAAACTCGAAAGGAGGCGTAACGCGAAAATTTTGGCCCCTATATCGAAGATCCAAAAGAGTTCATTGAACTACTTGTTACCGTGGAGGGATTGTGGGTGTCACACGTTGACCCTCAGGGCGTGACCGAGTTGCACAAGTGGAAGCACACTGAGTAAAGGCCACCAAATGTGTGCGACGTGTTTAAGTCAGACGGCAAGGTGACAGTGGTTGCATTTTTGGATGATGGCGGGGCTCTGCTGGCCAACTTTCTAAAACAGGGGCGCACAATTAATGATGAATGCTACACCTCCCTTCGATAACAGTAGCGAGCAGCAGATATCAAGGAGAGACTAGGGAAGCTGACTAAAAGTGTGCGCCTGATCCAGGACCACGCACCAGCACACATGAGCAGGGTGACGATCAGCGAAGCAGTGAGCTGTGGCTTCGAGTTGTTGTCACAGACACTTTTTTCTCTGTACCTTGCACCCTCAGGTTGCCACCTCTTCCCCAACATAAGGAAATTGCTTAGCAGTGGCAACTTCGCTGACAGCAAGGAGACAAAAGCAGCCGTCTTGGACGTGCCAGATGCGTCCAAAACCCAATTGGCTATGGAGACCCAGGGGCCTCTCGCGAAGCGCTGCGCGAAATATTTTTGTCTTAACGCTGGTTATTTGACTAAATGAACATTTTTTGTCTAATAAGTCGACATCGTATCTCTGCTCCTTCATGGTCGGGCCGAGAACTTTTTGAACGCCCCTTGTAAGTGCTCCTGATCGGTAAGGTGGTGTCCACTATAGGCACTACCATAGCGTGAAGCCCGCTTTTACAGACATGAGTAGGAAACGCAATGAGTATGGTTATTGTTAACTGCCTAAGATATTAAGACGAACGTCAAACGTTTTCTTTATTACTCATTTTGTTTCTGCTGGTAGTTACATCCGAGACATGACCAGCTAGAGCATTGCTTTGCATTCCATGATGTAGCGTTACCTATGTGATGCTTCCACTCGCAAGAACAGCGACCGTGAGTCCTGCTTTACCCTAGTTTCTGCTGACTGCAAACGCATGAAAGAGATTATAGGTTTATTGCACATTCACTTAATAATGTTACACGGTAGCCACTAGCCAATGATGGTAAAGCTCGAGTGGGTAGCATTCCTCCTGCATCACAAGGGAACGAGCAAAAGTGTGTCTCATGTACGGAGTAAATGCAAATCGACAGCTACACAACACACAGCATGAGGAACCTGAATACAACATACATCTAAGAAACCGCACACATATTCAGCAAGTAAAACCTTACGTTAGGTGTTGTAGTGAAACACAAGATGGTGCGTGAACTACTGCATACACACTGCCAGTGCGGCCCAGTCAAACGAACCATGCCCAGAGACAAAACGCGCAGTCATAGGACCAAAACAAATTTAAACAAGTCGGAAAAAGTCAACATAAACATGACTAACCGTGTCCGTTTCCGTCATCAGCGGAGTGGACACGACAAGGAGCACCCAATCAATCCTCATCCAATGACGTGCTAGGGGTGGTCGGCCCACGCGCTACGGCGTCACCGTTCGCAGGCGTGTCATCGCGTCCGCCCCGGGCCTCCACATCCAGACTGCGACTGGCGCGTACCACCGTAGCACGGGGCACCCGTACCGGCGGCAGTCCGTGGCTCTCACTCAGCTTGTTCAACCCCTGGGCGATGGCCCGAACCTCGAGAAGGAGTGTACCGAGCGCCGACTGAGCCACTTCAATTTTGGCCTCGAGTGTTTTCAATTTCATGTCACGAACTGCAGATTCTTTGTCCGAGTCTCCATCGGTTTGCTCTTCGACAACAGACTGGAAAAGGTCGACGTCATAAGACAGTGATGAAATTTGCCGCTGCTTGCCGGACATTTTGTGCGACTCTTTTTCCGCGTGCTTCTTGGCGACGCGACAGGCCGAGTTCATGATGTCGCGAGTCAGCCGTGTGTCGTTCGGATCGTTGGGCCGCAGCACCAGCGTATAACGGTACGAAGACGGCGACACGAGGGCCATCTCGGCGATACACGCAAACACCTTCTCCGGCAGCAGCCGCGTCATCACCTTGGAAAACAGCGTGAACTCGATGTGCGACATCTGCTCAGTGAGCCGTACCAGTCTGCCAAGCTTAGCTGTACGCTGCAGGCCCTGGATATCACTAACGGCCAGACCAACCAGCAAGTTCATCAAGATGATTGTCATGACGAACAAGAAGGCAGTGAAAACCAGCGATGCGGTAGGGTTCAGAATAGAACCGTCGTTTTCGTCTGGATAGAACATGTCAGCGAACTCTATCTCACCAGTCATCATCACCAGAACCTTCAGAAAGCTTCGCAAAGGATTCCCTACCGGCGGATAGTGTGGGAACAGCACGGCGAATGCCACGGCAAAGCCGATCACCAGCGAGGCATAGGCCAACAGGAACTGAAAGAAGTCCCTCAGGACCTTTGAGAACATGTGAATGTAGAGCCCGAGTCGCGGTAGCCGGCCGACTAGCATCATCAGCTCAAACCAGCAGATGATCACAGACAGAGCGCCCAGGTGTTTCTGCCATGTGTCAATGTAATCCAGCACAGGAGTGCCAATCAGCACCAGAAACAGCATGAGTGCCCACTCAGCCAGGTTCTCTGGGTTGCGGAAATACTGTGGCGGGTCTTGCGCAAGCTGGAAGATCTCTTTGGCAGCCATAGTGAGGTTGAACAGCAGCAAGACATACCACAGGTTCGTGTAAAAGAACGGCGAATCTACTGAGAGCCGCTGAAAGCTAGAGTGGATGCATCTGCACGCATCCGGGAAAGACACAGTGCCAGTTTGTGCCGCATCACAGTTCAATATCAGGCTGTGATCCTTCTTCACACACTGCCTGAACAGAAGTCTAATCCTCCTGGGGTCTGCCTCCTGAGAACTGTTACACAGCTTTAGCTCCAAACCGCGCCCGATGTTGTAGCAATTGTCCTGACACGTACCTAGAACGTACACACTCAAAAGAACACAAAATAACAGGTAATACATCACATTTGCAAACAAAAACTTTCGCACTTTCATCCACTTCATGTGCAAGAAGCTTTCGCACAGCGGGTGCTTAAGCAGGTGCTTTTGATCGATATCGATCAGCGCCTTCAGGAAATGACATTCACCCTTCGCTTGCGACATCAGAGGTTTGAAATTTATCTTGAGCTCTGCGAACTTGTTGTTAAGCACTCCATCCCGTTCGTAGAACAGAATTGCGCGACTGAAGCGGTCTGGAAGGTTGGCCAGCACAGAGGGCGTGCGGTGCTTGATGAGCTGCAGGCACGAGATGCCACCCTTGTTCCGCAGTGTGACGTCGCCACCGTGGTCCATCAGCAGCTCCACGCAGCTCGAAAACTGGTTGATGGCTGCCACGTGCAGAGGAGTGTATCCTGCGGTGTCTCCTTCGTTGATGAGTGCCCCGTGGTTGACGAGGACCTTGATGACATCTAGCGACCGGCACTGCTTACCGATGCAGCAGTGCAGCGGAGTGCGTAAGTCACTATCGCGTGCATTAATGTCGGCACCCCACGAGAGCAGCAGCTCAACCAGCTCCGCCGACTGCGATTTGGCCGCCAGATGCAGCGCAGTCTGACCACGATTGGTGGTCAAGTCCAGCCGCGCTCCGTGATCGTGCAAAAGCCTGGCGCATCCCACACTGCCGTCCTCGGCTGCCAGGTGCAGAGCCGTTTTGCACGCAGTCCCGCACACCAAGTCCACTTTAGCGCCATGCTGCAGCAGGAGGCCCAGACACTTGTCAAATCCATAATCGGCGGCGACGTGGAGCGGCGTCTCACTGCGCGCTCCCGCACCGCTCGTCTTAGCGCCGGCCTTGAGCAGCAGCTCGGCGCACGCATACGAGTTGGCGCGTACCGCGTAGTGCAGCGCCGTCTCATCACTGGGGTCCAGGCCAGCGTTCACGTCGGCACCGCTGGCGATCAGAAATGACACAATTTCGGGCGAGCTCACAGCGGCAGCGCAGATGAGCGGCGTCGTTGACTGCGCCGCGTCCCAGGCGTTCACGTTGGCGCCGTGCTTCACCAAGCAGTGCACCGTTTCCAGGTTTCCCGAGAAAGCAGCCAAGTGCAGCGCCGAGCGGCCATCCGTGTCTGCTGCCGCCGCCGACACGCCCTTCTTCAGCAGCTTTTTGACGAGTTTCGGCCGACCGAACAGACAGCCGGAGAGCAGTGCCACCTCCTCCTCCACCAGAGTCAGTTCATCGCCAGTGCACAGCGCCAGCATCCGCTCATTGTCCTCCTCTTTGACTGCCTCCAGGATGCGGAGAGAGCAGCCAGCAACTCGAAGCATCTGCTTCAGACTGTTCTCCAGGTCCTGCGCCTTCCACAGGGAGCGGAAGCGGTCCTGACGCCGCGAGCTGGAGGACGGCTGCTCCTGCAGCAGGTCCTGTAGCTCCTGCAGTTCGAAGTCAGCGGAGCCGGTGGAGGCTGCGCTGAACTCCTGTTCGGACTTCTCGTGCTGCTGGTCCGGGTTACGCAGCAGTTTTCGCAGTCTGAACGTGGCATTGTGGCGTGTGTGCCCCAGCCGCAGGTGGTCCCCTTCCTCGAGACTGCGCGGCGTGGCGATCTCCTGATCGACCTTCTGCCGTGGGAGGCGCAGCGACATTGGCATGCCGCCGTCTACACCACCTGCGAAGAGAAGAACTAGGTCAGAAAAGCATACAATCACGCCTCGCCAGCATTGGAGCACGTATCTTCATGGTGGTAGTCCCGCATGAACGCCCACGATATTGAATGATGACTTTGGCAACGATGCAAAAACGAAGCACTTCACAAATGGTGCACTTCTTACCATTACAAAGCCACATGTCACCAGCACAGAAATAAACGTTCGGAAATAATCCACCACCTTAACAGAAACATACCCGAACAGTGGTTGCCACACAACTCGCTGCCCTTATCTGTCCCTGGTGAATGTTACCTAATTTCTGACCTTAGCTAACCCGGAACGTACGGCTAGAACTACGCAGATTTAGAGCCAAACACGCATACACCGAAAATACGGACCGAAAATCAGAGGCCGATGCAGCACAGAGCCGTGCACTGCACAGGATGTCAGAGATAGACACATATGTGTTATCAAGGTCAACTCTCACAGGATATTGGTCAGAAGTGCAACGAACCACTACTATCTACAACCCACGTGCCACGACCAAGAGCATATGATACTTTTCAACCGCATAACATAAGCAAAGTTTAGTTCCGAAATAAGGAACACAATCAATGACAAACAGGGACGACTGGAGACAGCGTATCAGCATAAACATTAGGTACAAATGTCACATGGACTGGACCTGAGACCGGGCGCAAGTCCAAGCGGCGACAAGTCTGGTCAATGAAGAGTCGGATGGTGATCGTTGGTCACATTATAACGGTGCCCGGGCACGGAGCGTGCAAAAGTACGTACGGTAAAGTAAATGTCACTGTAATAGCACTTAGCGGCTGACTTTCATTGTTTGAGCTCTATTCTAACGTTTGACACCTAGAAGCCTGGAATGCTCACAATCTCTGCGTTCCTGTCGAACGCAATTGGATTTCCGCTACTGTTTGATTGTCTGGCTGGGTCTCGGTCAATATTTGGCGTCGTAGACAGGCTGCGTTAGAGGCGCGAGCAGAGTGCACTGACTGCACACCTTGTCCTGCCTCTCTCGGACAGACGCCAATGTCTACCGGGTCTGATGAGCGCTAACCGTCGACAGTTAACACTCGTCGACAGATCGGCAACTGAGCCTTTCAGTAGCAATGCGTTTTTACGATGTTCAACGGACAACGGACAAGGCGAACAAAGCAATATCAGAGAGGAGCCTCTAAGTTTGAATGTGTGTAATGCATATGCATACGCAGCCTTGCTATAGAAACCCCTACACTTGTCATGTACGTACAAAAGATACATTAGCACATAAATGTGCAAAAAACATACATCTTTGTAAAACCATCCCACCACGACACATCGCCATAGGAACCGGTCTGTACCCGACACGATGACAAAGCCGATCCTGAGGTCAGCTGGGCATAAATTTGGCAAGAGAACGCATACTTTCTGAATAGGATCACCCAAAGCTCTAAGGCTGCATTGCCGGAATCTAGTGATCTAATGTGAGCCATAGAGCTTAGCAGAAATAACAACATTGCACTGGTAATGACACCACGTATGTTTTGCTGATAAAAACACTAAAAAAGTGAGGGAATCAATGCGGCAAAAATAAGTACCCCACTACTCTGGTGAAGGTCAAAATAATAAAATTACTTCCTGAACAAGATCTTATCCAGAATTTAGGTAGAGCAGTCGCCAATAAAAAAACACTTATCGTTTGAAGCAAATCGATGTTTCAATCGCGACATCTAGGGTTCACGAATTCAAGGCCGAGGGCAGCTACGCCTGCAGTTAACTAGAACTAGTAACTACATGTATCTCCCTCTCTCAAAGGCGGCACGGTCGGCATTCCGTAGTCGTTTTCCGCCGGTGACGTGGTGCACCAGCGCCCTTGACGCCGCCGGCCACGCTCAGACGCTGCAAAGTTACGGGACCGTTCGTTCCAGTCTCGACTACAGAATTACTGCGCACTGCTCGGCCCAGAGTGGGAGTGGCCCGCCCTGGTGTAGACGGAGCAGCACCGAGGGAGCCTAGCCAGACGACCCCACCCACTAGCCAACAGTGTCATCATAGACAGCGCGGGAAAAGTCCATAGACAATGAACATATCACCGGACAAACACGAAAAGCATGGTCAAACATGATAGCACGGCAAATGCCGACAAAGTGAATAACGTACACAACACAGACAAACAAACACGAGCAACACGGACAAACAAGGAAGACAAACACCAATGACAAACACGGACATGCCTCTCCGCCGGACACAGTAGCCAGCCTGGAAACACAAACTGAACGTCAACGGTGCATGTAAACAAAAGTAGCTAAAATTACATACCTTCATCGGAGTCGGTCGACCCTCCGAACAGCAAGACTTGCTACAACAAAGCACACTCTTGCCGGTATGACCAGCCCTGCAGCACAGATTCCACAGTAAATCCCGAGCCGCGGCAGCGCGCGCGCTCCGTCCGCCGGTCACTGCGTCCAGCTCACGCGGCCCACGCCGACACACTCGGCCAGAACCGGCTCTTGGCTACAGACGAGCGGCGGCGCCCTCTCGCGGAGCGACCGTGGACAGGTCCCGTGCCGACGGCGTGTCTTCCAGGCGGGCTGCTCGACTGAATGGCGGCAAACGGACAGGTGGCCGACCGCTAACCCCCGGCCACGTCCCGGCTATGAATGCCGGCGGGCGGCTCCACTACCGCCGCAGCTCTACCCGCGCCGCGTCGTCCGCCGCCGCCGGTGATCACGTGGTCCCGCCGCCGGCCGACGGGCCGGATCACGTGACGCCGGCGCCGGCCCGACGCCCGTCCATCCTCGGATGAGGCTGACCGTGACCGGCCCGGGCCGCCGTGTCTCTCACCGCCACCCGTCAAGAATCCAGCTGTGACGGCGCCGACGGCGACGGAAAACTCGCCGCTGACGGGTCCCACCGAGTCATGAAGGCTTCCAGCATAGCGCGGAGCCGGGGATGTCACAAAAATCGGGAAAATTCGCCGGCCGTGAGGACAGCAGTAGAGGTCGCGGGGAGACCGCCGGCGGGCTGGGCCAACCCAAACAGGACACACACAGCTCGACGACATGGTGCATACGCGTCTGGGACGCCGTCCCTGTCGCGAAATATGCCCCACTTTACCCCCTCTCTTCCCCACCCCGCGCCCACCGAGCGGTGCCGCCGAACGGCAGAGCGCCGGCGCCGACAGAGGGGCAGGCGGCGCCGCGAGCGAGCGGGGCGCCGCTCCCTCCCAGAGCGGCGCGGCGCGGCACGGGCCAACCTTGAAAACGGGAGGTGCTCTCTCTCGGCCGTTCTGGCCAGTAGATGCACATACCGGTGCCGGGCCGCCGCCCAGGTGAGCTGCCGTGAACGGGCCGGGGGGGGGGGCGGTGAGGGGGGCATTGCGTCACGACCTCGCCGCGCCGCGCGGACGCCCCCGGTTCCCCGCTCGTCCGGTTTTGATTCGACAGCGGCTGTCAGTCACAATGCAGATCCGACACGACACATGTGGAGTTTCGGCTGGCAGGAGGGAGAATACGGCAAATGATAACAAGGTTGGCAAACACGGGATTGATGAATAGTAGGTGTGAGAGTGAAACTATTGTCTGTCATAAGCTCACACGTGCTATCGAGCCTCGGAAGGACGGAAACGGTCGTGTGTTTTCGTCTGAGCTAGTTGCGCAGTTCAACGGCTCAAGGCTACACAGCAGTGATCTGTCGTTTGATGACTAACACCAACTGATAGGTAGGGTAGACCGGGGCAAGTCGCCCCGCCGAGGTAAAACGCCTCACCGATGTTTCTCGGAACTGGCAGGGTTCTGGGGAAACATCATCTCTTCTGGGGCGTTCCACGACAAATCGACAAGTGCCCTGCACCCTCATATTTTATTTTTTGCTTAAAATTGGTCTAATGGGTTGTGATGGGCGGGGAAGCCAGCTGTGACAAGAATTTTTTTCTTAGAACAACGGTTTCCGAGATATAGCCTCGGGCAATTCCTGGAGGTCGCGCTGCAGCCCTATGTTTGGCGGCCTATAACTCAAAAACTATTGGTTTTCTACGATAAAAACTTTATATGGTTCAACTCACAATCAGCCAACAAACATTTTGGCTATCTCGGATTTTCAATTTTTGAAAATTTTGATCACGTGACCTTTTGACATATTTTTCGAAGTGACCTTGATATTTTCCCCACTGAAAGTTGCAATTTTGTCTGATGACGATTAAAGCCTTATCAATTGTCATTCATATGCGAAAATAAAAAAAGTGGATATAGCCCTGCGTTGACCTCAGGTCAGGTCATTTTTATGACCTGTCCATTATTACGAGCGGGAGCGACAGCGAGATCTCGAGAATAAAGCAAGATAGCGACAAGCGGTAAACGGTGCAGGGTACACACGGATAAGGTCTATAATTTTTACTGAGGTCATTTTCAGGTCAGGTCAAAGATGACGTCACAGGCGCAAAAAGGAAGTCGAAATTGCGGCACTACATATATATGAAGTTTTTCTCGAATAACTTTCAAGGTATCCCAGCTAGGAACAAATTAATATCACCATCGTGATCCTCTCGTCGATCCGTATCGAAACATATGTATGTTGACCTCGAAAGGTCGAAAGGTCAAAAGTTGACCTTAGGTCACGTGACCTTAGGTCAACTTTTGACCTTTCGACCTTTCGAGGTCAACATACATATCTTTCGATGCGGATCGACGAGAGGATCACGATGGTGCTATTGGTTTGTTCCTAGCTGGGATACCTTGGAAGTTATTCGAGAAAAACTTCATATATATGTAGTGCCGCAATTTCGACTTCCTTTTTGCTCCTGTGACGTCATCTTTGACCTGACCTGAAAATGACCTAAGTAAAAATTATAGACCTTATCCGTGTGTACCCTGCACCGTTTACCGCTTGTCGCTATCTTGCTTTATTCTCGAGATCTCGCTGTCGCTCCCGCTCGTCACGTGACCTAAGGTCAACTTTTGACCTTTCGACCTTTCGAGGTCAACATACATATCTTTCGATGCGGATCGACGAGAGGATCACGATGGTGCTATTGGTTTGTTCCTAGCTGGGATACCTTGAAAGTTATTAGAGAAAAACTTCATATATATGTAGTGCCGCAATTTTGACTTCCTTTTTGCTCCTGTGACGTCATCTTTGACCTGACCTGAAAATGACCTCAGTAAAAATTATAGACCTTATCCGTTTGTACCCTGCAACGTTTACCACTTGTCGCTATCTTGCTTTATTCTCGAGATCTCACTGTCGCTCCCGCTCGTAATAATGGACAGGTCATAAAAATGACCTGATCTGAGGTCAACGCAGGGCGATATCCACTTTTTTTTATTTTCGCATATGAATGACAATCGATAAGGCTTTAATCGTCATCAGACAAAATTGCAACTTTCAGTGGGGAAAATATCAAGGTCACTCTTCGAATAATAGGTCAAAAGGTCACGTGATCAAAATTTTCAAAAAATGAAAATCCGAGATAGCCAAAATGTTTGTTGTCTGATTGTGAGTTGAACCATATAAAGTTTTTATCGTAGAAAACCAATAGTTTTTTAGTTATAGGCCGCCAAACATAGGGCTGCAGCGCGACCTCCAGGAATTGCCCGAGGCTATATCTCGGAAGCCGTTGTTCGGAGAAAAAAAATCCTTGCCACAGCTGGCTTCCCTGCCCATCACAACCCCTTACACCAGTTTTCAACGAAAAATAAAATATGAGGGTGCAAATTTAATTTTTTATATGTCGATTTGTCGTGGAACGCCCCTTCTATAAAACGTGCACTATATGATCATTATATGAGCAGACTGGAAAGAAATTGTGATGACTCTTTCGGGAGATATAGCTAAAAATGTGTTTTTTGAGTGATTTTTATGTTTTGTTGTCAGATTATGAATCATGGCGTTCTTTTATGGTCCACATTAGGTTAACGACTTTTATGTATTTTGAACAACTATTGTCTGACGCTTATCATGCCGGGTTGGTTCGTGTTAAATTATGTCTTACTGGAGTGCAAGGCGTTGTTCTCTGACCGAACTACGTGATGGGGTAAAACGCCCCAGAAGGTCGCGGGGCAAAAAGCCCCTGGGGCGTTTTACCTCTTGTGTTGTTGGGGCTACCCACTTTCTAATGTTCGGTAGCTGGCGAACAGTAAGTTTCTATGCCTTTATGTGTATTTTTCTCAGCAACTGGATGGCAAAGGAAGTATTTTGTTAACATTTGCATTGCAATAATTTATTATTTGGTCTTATGAGGTAGGTGAAAAACCTGCTCATACAACAGTGTCATATGCTGAGCACCTGAAAGGATGGAATGTGCTAACTTCAGTGCCGTGCCTCCAGAGGTCTAACGGACCTCTCACATAAGATTTAGCCAACTACCATGTTAAATCTTTAATCTAAGGTATGGGGCTACTTGCCCCAGGCCGTGGGGCGTTTTGCCCTGGGGTTGGGGCAAAATGCCCCATTTGCAGTTGCTTCACAAATCACTTCCTAGCTTGGAGTCCGATCATAAGTGAATCAATTTGAGGGGTGCAATTTAAAGTAAAATGTCCAAAGAACGCATTGAGCACAAATTTGGCCTTTCAGGTGATGTGGGACAAAATTTATGTAGCAAAATAAATTATCTGGGGCGTCTTGCCCCAGGCTACCCTACTGGTACTTTGGCAATGCACATACCTTTGAACCACTGACACTCTCACGGTGAGAAGTTGATCATCCGGTGAATAATTGACCACGCAACCAACTTTGACAAATTTTTTGCCTCGTCTTCTCTCTAAATGGGAGTGGGAAGTTACATCACAACAGAAAGGCCTTTTAGTTTTGACTAGGCTGTAGTGTACCGTTGAACCAAACTAACAAGCAATCACCTCTGAAGCGACGGCTCCTTTTCGACAGAACGGGCATGATTGGCAATAAATTCAATTTCTGTACGACACGAGTCATACGGTTATATAACTATTACATATATCAAATCATTCACACTACCTACACTACAGTAAAACATATCGCATAAACTTTAGAAATCGAAGTCCGATGAGGAGCTAAATCATAGTTAACATTTTTGACTGTCATGTAATAAAGTTCTTTCAGAGGACGTGGTTGACTCGGGCTGACTACGCTGCAGCTGACAAGGAAATTTCCTTCATATGGTAACTGATCACGTCATGAAAAATAGATTCTTAGTCATAAAACATTCCCAGGTTGACCATATTATCCTCCATTGACTTATAGCAGCAAGCACCGGTTGGATATTGCGCTGCGGGGATATCCAACCAGAAGTATCCGTTAACGGCTGGCCAATGACCAACACTAACCACTGACCGGCCGGGATTTAACCCTCCCGCGGCACTACCCCGCCCGGATCAGATCTAGACGACCTGCCACCGATCCCCGCCCTGCCAGCCCTCCCCCGCTGCCCCCGCGCTCATACCAGGCCGATTATCCATCTGACCATCAGCGGCGGTCGCTCCAAACTCGCCGAGTCATTCCACCAGCCCCGAACTGTGGCTAGGAGCGCAGTGGCGTCGACTCTGAGCGCGCTAATGGACTGGTGCACGCCCGTGCAACCGGGTGCACGGTGGACAAAGTGCATGATGCATGGTGCATCCCATGTCTGCTTTTTACGTACCAAAAAAGTGAAGATATATTGATAGAATCATAAATGATTGAGCATTTTGTACCGTCGTAACATTCATAAATGCCTTTATCTACAGAGCAATATCTGTAGCAGCAAATTGCACATCCAGTCAGTGGTAAATACAGGTGTCCCAAAGTCATCGAAATGCGACAGGTCCCCCTGTGTGTCTTCAACGCCAGCCTGTGCTATATGGAGACTGCACAATTTTCTATCAAGAACCAAATAATCATCGTCAGCAAACCCCGGCCAACGTTTTAACGTCACTGCAGCTTCCGCGCCTTAATGGTGAAAAAAAAAAAATATAAGGAAATTCATTTTTGTCCTTCTGACCGGTTAGGTTCCTCAATTATCTACGTCCCATCTTGCCGAAGAAAAGTTTACGCCGACGCTACGGAAGCCGGAGGTCCAAATGAAGGAGGACGACTAAACAAGCGGCATCTTTGAAGCTATTTTTACGTCACTGAAGCATACAAACAGCAACCACTCGTCTTTCATCGCGCATTTGGTTCACAAGTCTGGGGTAGCTTCGCTCGCCGTTCAGCTAAGAGCCACTGAAGAAGCAAGGGGAACGCTACCGTACGAAGGCTGAATGACCACACAACCGGTTATTCCGACTAGCAGTATTACAATGCAAAGCTTTAGGTCAGGGATAGCGCAGAGGAATCGGGTCTGAGTCAGAGATGAAACTGTCAAATTAAAGTCAAATCAGGATGAGGAAGTGGCACGAGAATGAAAGGCTGATGCTCATACTTTATACTCTTCAAGGTCCGTTCTAATCCGCGCCAGATATGAGGAAGTGTAAAAATATTACGAACTTTTTATGGGTGCAAACGGTGACGCCGAAATACTTGCCATTTTCATCGCACATAAAAAATCGTCATTAGGGAGCAATCAGTACCCGAGCCAGGACATTAAAAGTAACTTTTTATTTTGATGACTTATTTGCCATAGAATAGCTGACAAACTTCATCAGCAGCGTCTGCGTCGGCGTATGAGTACGCTTCGATGACCTACAATAACTCATTTTTTTTTATAAATTTAGTCCGAACCTTTTGATGGGAAGGATTCACAAGGACAGAGCCACCGCTAAGCGAAGCTTGTTGCGATGACCCTGCTCTCTACCCTCCGATCGCGCAATTCCGATTCTATGGCAGAATTTAGAGTCCAAAGTTTAACGTGCGCACAAAGCCGCGCACGGCCGGTCCCCTCGCTGACTTCGCCTGGCTACGGCCTGCCACCAACCGCAACCATACCTGTCAGGAGGCCCATAAATGTCGAGCGCCCGTCGCGCTTCGAACCCGGACTGTCATAACCGGGAACGCGTGCTCTCACCACGCGGAGTCCAACGCTCTAACCAACTGAGCTACGGGACCGGCTAAACTCATGTCCGTTAATTACGAAAAAAAAAATATGCAAGCATACATTTGATTTTCCTCTCCAAATCTCTCAAGTTCATTTCAATTACTCTTGAATGCCCCAACATTTAACATACATCTCCTTATCTCCTTTGAATCGGTGCCTTCTTCCCCTCCCCAAGTATGTGCAAATCAGCCGTACTAGGACCCCCCCCCCCCCTGGTAATCTTGAGCAACGCCAGGTACAGGGAGGGGGAATAATTCTGATCCTGAACAGGTGCCACTTGGTCTCGGGTGACCTAAATCGGTCCTCCGTCAGTCACGGCACGTGGGTGGGGTCGGGGGAGGGGAGGGGGGCGGAGGTGACAGGAGGCGACACGGTCCTGTCAAGCGTCACATCGGTTCACCGGGACGCTGTGACAGTGACACATTCAGTCAACGGTCGAACATCACTGTTGGTGGCTTCTCGCAGGGTACGCACGTCAGTGACCTGATGCAACGAACATGCTACGATGGATTATTGCATTTATAATGCATACCCCATTGTATACCGAACATACAGTAACAGACCTCAGTATGTACACAGAGGTCTAAGAGGACTGAGGAGTGAGATAACGCCACGCACACACCCTTCCCACGTATGCGTCGTATGTCTGCGAACAGGCGGGCGTCTCGGTACTCACTGTTGCACGCGGCACGTCTCACACATGAGCAGCGCCCGTCGCAGGTTCCTGCCACTCTTCTCCGCGATCCGCTGTGCCAGCTCGGACGGCAGCGCCAGACCCTCCTTCTTGCAGACGGCCTGCGGAGAGGGACAGCGACCGGCCGTTAGCGAGAGGTCACTGGTGTGCCGTCAGGGGAGGTCATTGATCTGCCCGTCAGGGGCAGGAGGTGAGAATTGTCGGCGGTACCACGGTACACTCGTAAACAAACTGGCATCGAGCTAAACTTATATGGACTGGAATCAGCATGAAAGTAGGATCAACTAGGCATCAATGCCTACAGTTGGCGCTGGTGACTCACAAGCATTTGGTGATTGTTTACATTTATCATGGATCAGAAAATCAGGTTTATACGATCGATAAAGCCCGTCAATTACCAGCAGTTGTCTCATCAATTGGTGTCACGAACCGTCTACAGTCATTGTCTCCTCGCAGAATACCATCTCCTACTTGCCTAGTGCTTACACGGCAACAACCTAAAGCAGATATGCCTGTATAACTAACAAGCTCAACAGATGACGACAGCAGGGTTTAGAAGTCAACGAAAGCGGCAGCGCCACCTGCCCAGGAAAGCATCACTCGATGTACCCGCAGGCTAAAGATGACGCTGAGGTTCGCTCCAGGTCCACCAACGATTCTCAGAAATGCAACCACCGCCACAACCCGGGCTCAGTAGGACGTCCGCTCAGCCCCTGGACCCCAGCCCGCGCCTCGCGGCGGCGTTACTCACGTGCAGCACGTCGGTGATCTGCTGGTGCGAGGGCGCCGGCACGCGCACGGCCAGGCACCGGCTGCGGATGGCCGGGATCACCTGGCTGCTGCTGTTGGCAACCAGGATGATCCGGCACGTGGACATGTACTTCTCCATGGTGCGCCGCAGACCGTGCTGCGCGTCCTTGGTCAGCCGGTCCGCCTCCGTGACTATTACAACTGAGGGAGGAGAGAGGACAACTGAGGTTAAATTGCTGCCCCCATAAAATGCTTTTATGAATCACTGAGAGCAAGGAATGGACCGCTGACATCGGAAGGCACTCACTGCAGTTGAGAAGCGTAACAAACGTACGATTACGACCATGTGTATATTCGCCTGTATCAGTTTCATAACGGGAAGCGGAGAACGTGCGGTAAACGCTTCACGCATTCCAAACATAATACAAACCACCGAAAAACGCCGCATATTTCAATATAACTCCGCCCTTTGGCCAGCATCAAATCCATTCCAGTTTAGCTCCCTGTCCTCGTCTCCGTCGGGTCTCCCCGAGTACCTTTGAAGTCGCGCTGGCTGTCGGCGTTGAGCTGGTGCGTCTGCGCCACCGTCTTCAGCAGCTCCTGGATCACCACGCGGTCGTTGTTGCCGGCGTCACTCGGGTTCACCTCGATGTGATAGTTGCTCGCCACTGTGACGATCTCGATCTTACGCTTTGACGGCGTCTGGGCGAGAGGTGTGACGGTCAAATGTGAGGAGGGCACGGCTTATGGGGCGATCAGGATTTATCGGTCATTGGCGTCTAAAAAATAATGAGAAATCAGAAAAATTATCATAAAGATAAGATTTCCATGACGGGGGCTTACAGTGTAGTTCAAACCACCATTTACACTAGCAGCGACAGTGAAAATGAAGTGAAATGCATACAAAAAAATCATAAAAAGATGCATCAACCACCTCAATCGTACGAAGGTGTTAATTGCTGTCGGGCCGCACCTCGAAATGCTGGTGCTCTATCCTGAGTTTGTCCACCCCGGCACCGTACAGCTCCCTCAGGAGGCACATGACGCGAGTCTTCTTCCCGGCGCCCGAGGGGCCGTACACCAGCAGATGTGGAAAGTCGCCACTTTTCACCTGCGCGGAGAAGTATGTCGTCAAAAGATCGGGGGTATGGCACATGCCACAAAGCTTGTTATAACAGAAAGCAGGGAATAATGGAGGGAAGGTCAAGAAACATTAAAATTCATAAATCTTTTGTCTTAAGTGATGTAGTATGCTCTCAGTGCCCAGCCTGGTAAGTGATTCTTGCTGCAGCTTTCACTCTTTTCTTGGTGCGAGTATTTCATCTGGTCTATTTTCCACAAGAGGTTCTAGACAAGAATGACCCAAGGCGCTCAAACAATTCCGTTCGCACTGAGAACTGATTTACCATAGTGTGGTGCACTGGGGTGGGCCCAATATAGTCATAGTGCAGTGGTGATCTGCTCTGCGGGCGCATTGACGTTCAAGAAAAAATACACAGGAGACACAATATTCTCCAAGTGGCCTGTTGGATAAGGCTGCAATCTTGCACCATTGTGGCAGGCAGCAGCGAGTTTTTGGTCAGAAATCTGAATGTTTAATCCCAGTCACTACATTCAGCCAGCTGAGCTGGTAACTGCCACAAGAGGGCCATGCTAGACCCAGGATGACCATACTGCAGCCAACCAGCCATACATTTAACTTCAAATTAAAATTATAACTGGAAAACTGGAAGTGGACAAGGCCGGAAAATGGCTTAATTTCATGGCGTCCCCCTCGCCGCCCCGCTCCAATGGATCAACCAGGAAAAAATTTCAGCATGAAAAGGAAAAACTGATAATGCAAAACAACACAGACAATGACATGAACGTGGGTGAGTACCTAGGTACCTAAGTAAAAAAGGTAAAAAAACGGGTTATCCATAACTTACAAGTTTTGAGAGCCTAGAAGCTTGTCCATTATGATAGTCTAGCTTGCCAAGACTTGTTGGTCGATGCTTGTCTACCCACAGACTCATCTTGGCTTCAACGTAAAAGGTGCCTGAATTTAAATAAAAAATACGTAAAATAACCCAAGTATTGGTATGAGAGGGGAAAACCGAGCGCAGTACTCAAGGCCCTCTATATACCGCAGCACTCAAATGTAAACAACAAAATAGTCAACGAAAGGTCACGCGTGCGTCAAATATGAATTCCGCGCGTACTGAGACAGTGCTACCAAATTTATTTCGTCAAGTATTTTTCCTTTCTTTAGACTCACCTGTCTTTCTTCATACTATTCTTCATCCATTACTAGTCTAGTATTCTTTTCCTTGATTACAATATTCTTTTTTCACTAGCTTTGTGAAAATAAATTATTTTGAAAATATTAAAAATCACCCCAAAAAAGCTTAAAATATGCGAATCCATTTTTCATCCGAAATTCAGCACTATTCATCTCTATGGTATCACAACATCCGTAGACGTTCTTTTCGGTAGTGCGTCGGCTCCGACATGAAGGCATCGGAGGTAAATTGAGCTTTATTTCGTTAATAACTAAACCTCTGCACTGAGACGTGTACCATCCATGCTATATAATTTTGTGTTTAAAATTGTGTCATTTATTTTTGCCTTCATTGTCTCTTTCGCAGATAAATAGCCGGCGAAATTCAGGTTTATTGCGTGTATTTTGTCTCGTTTTCGTATATAAGCGATTTTCTCTGTATTCGGCTGTTTTAGGTATTGGTTTGCTGAGGAACATTGTAACAGTCATCATTGAAGTTTTTTATTGTGGTTTGAGCAGATTTTTTCACCCCCAAATGTCTGATGGATAGGTATTTGGGTACTCTCTTAGCAGGCGTCACCCCAGTTGCCAGATCTAGTGACCAGTTGAAAAATCTAGAGACTTTTTTAAAAGTCTCTAAATGGGCAGGAAAATCACCCAGGACGTTTAGGGGAGGAGGATTGGGGGGGGGGGGCGGGCGACGGCCGGCTCACGATATCAATCGGCTGATGTTGTCATGGTTACGGCGGTTGCGTGAGGTCCGTGAAGTTAGCGTCAGCAACAGCAGCGAATACAGCGTCAGCCGTCAGATTCAGAATTGCTTTTAAAAGCTTATTGGGGTCAATTAGGGGGCGGGGAACACGAATATGACACTTATTTTGCCATAACTCCCCTCCTTCATCCCTTAATCCTCCCTTAAAGGACGGGGCGCGTCAATTGTGACCCTTATTTTGGCGATCAGGCGAACCCTTGAGGTAGTTTTGACGCTCCCCGTCCTTTAAGGGACGATTAAGGGATAAGGGATACGCTACAGTCTGCACACATCTGACACCCGGCTAGATATTGACCTGAGGAATCGATTGCTATCCTTATTTTGGCGATCAGGCGAACCCTTGAGGCACTTTTAACGCGCCCCGTCCTTTAAGGGACGATTAAGGGATAAGGGATATGCTGCACACATCTGGAAGCCGAGGCTGCGGCCAGATATTGACGAGAGGAATCGATTGCGACCCTTATTTTGGCGATCAGACGAATCCTTGAGGCACTTTGGACGTGCCCCGTCCTTTAAAGGGACCCTCCCACCTTCAAAAAAGTTAATGAATTGGCATGAAAGTGATGTCGCTCGGTTCAGAAAGAGCAAAAACGAATATCTACCAAATTTCATCGAAAAATATTCACCGGTTTTCAAGATATTAGACTTTTATTTTTGTTTACTTTTTGGGATCTCCGCTGTTCCTAGCGACTTTATTTGAAAGTGCGGCATTTGTTGCGCGCAAAGCAGCATATACCACCGCGTGCTACAAAACGTTTTAGTCAAACATTTAACGGACGTTCGAAAGCCTGATGACGTCATCAGATTCCCGTAATGGTTAAGAGATAGGGACCACGCTGGTCCCACCCTGCAAGTAAAGGGAAGAAATTTCTTGAACACCATAAAGCTGCGGGGGTTGCGACCAGGATAAATGGTGGTTTCTGAGCCTGGCCGCAAACTTGGTTATCTCAACTCAAAACTAATGTTAAGGTGGGAGGGTCCCTTTAAGGGAGGATTAAGGGATGAAGGAGGGGAGTTAGGGCAAAATAAGTGTCATATTCGTGTTCCCCGCCCCCTAATTGACCCCAATAGGCTTTTAAAAGCAATTCTGAATCTGACGCTGTATGCTGTTGCTGACGCTAACTTCACGGACCTCACGCAACCGGCGTTACCATGACATCAGCCGATTGATATCGTGAACCGGCCGTCGCCCCCCCCCCCCAATCGCCCCCCCCCCAATCGCCCCAATCCTCCTCCCCTATACGTCCTGGGTGATTTTCCTGCCCATTTAGAGACTTTTCAAAAAATCTCTAGATTTTTCAACTGGTCACTAGATCTGGCAACTGGGGTGACGTCTGCTAAGAGAGTACCGGTATTTGTATTTGGTTGATAAAGCTGGTGGGGCCTTATCCTAAACAAAATTGTGTTTTTTAAGAGCTTTGATTAATATGTCTGAACTGATAGTCTTCTATAGTCTTCTATAGCATAGTCTATAGTCTTCTATTTCAATGAATATGTGTAGAATAACAGGTGTGCATGGATCTGAGGAATAATAATAATATAAGAATAACCAGTAACCTCATAATATAAATCAGAAATAGGAGCCAAAAGGTTATATTTAAAGTTATCGAATATTTCGCTCCTGGAGCTTCGTCAGCGATAATTAAAGAAAAACATATATGATATGTTTTTCTGTAATTATCGCTGACGAAGCTCCAGGAGCGAAATATTCGATAACTTTAAATATAACCTTTTGGCTCCTATTTCTGATTTATATTATGAGGTTACTGGTTATTCTTATATTATTATTATTATTCATGAGCCTCAAGCAGAGTTTCAGCTTTTTAAGAAGGATCTGAGGAATAGTAGATTTATGATCTTGGTGGATCTTGATCTCAGTAGGCGGAACTATGGTCATGAGTACCCAAATATAGGAACGTTCCCATTTTTGGGAACGGAGTTCCCAAATATGGGAACGGGCGTTCCCATTTATGAGAACGGAAGGCAATTTTTCGGCCGTTCGCCCACTAAAACTCAAAAGTGCATCACGTCTCAAAAAAGTGCACGCTGATTTAAGTATCTACTAAATCTCCATAAAGTTATCTTTAATCTGACCGTGGAACAAGGAAATTGACCGTGGAATGATATTTTTAATGATTTTTTAAAAATGTCAGAATGGTGGAAATATGGGTTATACGACATTTAACATGCAATTTTAAGGAAAATTAAGCATTTTTTACATTTTGAGGTCAAGTATAATAATTTTCGCCTGGTTATGAAGTTTCATTCTAGCGACACCAGATGCTGACATATGCAAGCGAACACGCGGACAGTCCCGAGGTAATATTGTTGACTTTTGGTGTCGGGGCGATCGACCGCGTGGAACGTCAGTGATTTTACCGAACTACTGTTGTAAACTCAGTTTCAGTGGTTTAAAATCATTCAGCTGTATTTTATCAGCCCTGAAAGACATATTTTATTTGGATGCTAGCTGTTTAGCGTTGTTTTATAAGCAGCGTCATGAGCGTGGTTTTTGTCTTCGGCGTTTCTAAGCATGATCGTTTGGGGGGAATTTCTCTGATATAGGTCGCTCTGTGTGGCTTATTTATAATTTTTATGCTGATTTCGATCATTCCTCGTGCCCATCCTACCAGGCCTTTTGCCACTTACACTCATTAAGAAAGGAAAAAACTAGATTTTCATTGGGACTAGGTGTTTTGAGGGTGTAACATATTCAGCGTTCCCATTTTTGGATACTTCTTGTGCTCGTCAACTCTCGGTGATTAGCAGACAGGTGCTTGACATGTCTCCACCCTCGGCGCGGACGGTGGATATAGGTATGGAAGACCTTGTTGAACATCGCTGAGCGTTGTGGATTACGTAATCCTGCAGAGGGGGGCGTGCCCGCTGCGAGATCGACGGGAATAAAAGCGCAGAAGACCGGGCGAAACATGCAACGGTCTTGCCGGAAAGGTCATCTGATGATTGTTGCGTTAACAATAATTTGCGGCGTTGGACGTGATGCTTGTTAATGAAAAGAGCCCCTGAAAGGCGTCGGTGAAATCGTTCCCAATTTTGGGTACGCCGTTCCCATAATAAGGAACGCTTGCAGCGCCAGTGTACGAGAGCGTTCCCAAATTTGGGCTCGCGGCCCGGGTGATGGACTGCTTTAGAAATAGGGGAACGATTTGAAACTACGATGGGCCTTACAATATCAAACTCTTTCCCAACAATATTGAGACAACTATCAGGCGGTTCACGATCGTTTTATATTTTTTGGACGTCATTTAACGGTTCTTTTTTTTTGTTTTAAATAATGCCTACATGGCGTTCCCATATTTGGGTTTATCGTTCCCAAACATGGGAACGAAAATGCGTTCCCGAAAATGGGTACGCTTGACCATAGTTCCGCCTACTGATCTTGAAGCATACTGCAAGTGATGTGATCCTACTGGATCTTATTTGACAAATGTATCCTATGTCCAAGATCTCATATCATCTGATGATTTTCTAATGAAGAACAGGGATAAATAAAAGAAATTGACCTTTTCCTCAACATTAAAAATGTAAAAAGCCAAATAATGTATTTAAAAAATGGTGAGCTTTCGGCCACTGGCCTGTTTATCCAACCAAATGTTACAGCAATGTTTGCTGTAATGTTGGTTTGATAAAGGCCAGTGGCCGAAAGCTCAGTTTTTTTTATATGTTGTGTATTTGCGGTGTTCTGCTAGCAATTATAAAATGACCTCAACATGGAGGTGCCGAGCAGTGCAATGTCTCCCGCAAATGTTGTGATTGCTTTTGGATAAAATCTGGGTTCGAGGGGGGACTTGGGAGTGACATGAAAAATGGAATACAGGAAGTGATATATTGTGATTTTGAATATTGAATAGACTGAAGAAAGGAATAATATCTGGAAGGAATATTATTTATGTTGAGGAAAAGGTCAATTTCTGTTACTTATCTAATTATATTCAATATGTTCCTCGCTCGAGCACCTAACAATGTTACCAATCAAGAACAGGGGTCTTTGATTTGAGGGGATCCTACTACCTATGTACCTACTGCATTAATAATTACGTATTCAAGGGTTCTTACCTATTTCAAGAGGTGTGAGCAGAACTATGAATTCTGATGTGCAATTGCCTAAAATTACTAAAGCAACTATTGTGAGTTGCAAGAAGTCTGTGTTGTCCAGAAATATGTGGGATCCTACCAGACATGTGCATGGATCTGAGTGATGGATCTATGATCTCAGCAGATCTTGAAGCAAACTGCAGGTTCAGATCTTTGATCCCACCAGATCCAGTGTGAACAATTTAATCTGGATCTATTTTATTTTATTTTAATCTGGATCTATGTATTTAAAAAATGGTGAGCTTTCGGCCACTGGCCTGTTTATCCAACCAAATGTTACAGCAATGTTTGCTGTAATGTTGGTTTGATAAAGGCCAGTGGCCGAAAGCTCAGTTTTTTTTTTTAAAGTATGTTGTGTATTTGCGGTGTTCTGCTAGCAATTATAAAATGACCTCAACATGGAGGTGCCGAGCAGTGCAATGTCTCCCGCAAATGTTGTGATTGCTTTTGGATAAAATCTGGGTTCGAGGGGGGACTTGGGAGTGACATGAAAAAATGGAATACAGGAAGTGATATATTGTGATTTTGAATATTGAATAGACTGAAGAAAGGAATAATATCTGGAAGGAATATTATTTATGTTGAGGAAAAGGTCAATTTCTGTTACTTATCTAATTATATTCAATATGTTCCTCGCTCGAGCACCTAACAATGTTACCAATCAAGAACAGGGGTCTTTGATTTGAGGGGATCCTACTACCTATGTACCTACTGCATTAATAATTACGTATTCAAGGGTTCTTACCTATTTCAAGAGGTGTGAGCAGAACTATGAATTCTGATGTGCAATTGCCTAAAATTACTAAAGCAACTATTGTGAGTTGCAAGAAGTCTGTGTTGTCCAGAAATATGTGGGATCCTACCAGACATGTGCATGGATCTGAGTGATGGATCTATGATCTCAGCAGATCTTGAAGCAAACTGCAGGTTCAGATCTTTGATCCCACCAGATCCAGTGTGAACAATTTAATCTGGATCTATGATCTTATAGGATATGACATTAAACCAAGAGCATGGATCTATGATCTAAGTGGATCTCATCATGCACAACATTTGAAACCAGGTTGCCAAGTGTTTCTATGTCAATAAGTGCCACAAAGCTATAGGATTATGGCGTGCAATCACATAGAATTAAAACAGAAGTGAGTTGCAACAAGCAATTTTCTGGGATTTCTGAGTTGACAAAAAATAAATGAGGATTTATGACCTCACTGGATCTCAAGCAAAAACAAAAATCGGGCTTGGATCTATGATCTCAGCAGATCCTAGATCAGGATCTGTGGGATCAGATCCCAGGTCAATTTCTCAGATCCACACACATTTGGATCATAATGGATCTTAAGTTTGGAAACACTGATCTATGATCCCTATGGATCCCTTAGATAATAAATCAAAGAATGGATCTATGATTCCATCAGATCTGAGGTCAGATCCCAAATATCTTTTTTGGATCCATGTGCATGTCTGATCCCCAATGCTGAAGTGAATCCATCATGCACACTGCTGCCAGTTATGCCCTCTGAGGAATCATGTCTCAAACATCCTGACAGGTCATACTCAGAACTCTTCAAGTATAATTTTCATGTATTTGCATGATTTTGGTATTTTGTATTAGTGATGATCATACCCAGTTATCTTGCCTGGTTGGATTTCTCAATGCCTTGCATTGTATAACAGATATGGGATGTTGTCTGTGAAGGACTGTTAGGAACCGATAAATCAGCACATGCTGACGTGTTTTTCAACTAAAACAAATGTGAAATATGTCACAATTGTATTTAAGGGTAAAGATCTGAAATAAGCTCATCAGTGATTAGGTATGAGCTTAGACATGTCCATGCTAAATGATTCTGAGAGTAGAAATGCTAAAAAGATATCTAATGAGGCATATTTCAATACATTTTGGTACTTCCTTTTATAGTAAAAAAAAAACATTTTAGTTTATCTACCATTCTCACCACTCTTTCATGGCACTAACAGCAAATGTCACTACAAAAAATATCACACTGCACCTGACTAGGCTGAGCATAATCACATTACTGTCTTGTGGTTTGGTTGTGCAGGTTTAACTTATCCAGCTTCTGAGAATAGCTCCTTCAATTGAATAGCTTGTAACTTTTTGTCTTTGCTGATACACCTGTGTCTGACATTTTATTTCATGACAATGCTGAATATCCTGTATTTTGTGGACTGAGTCGTTGTGACATCGAAGGTTTATCCGGTCGAACATAGTTCATGCAAACTACAGCGATGTAAAGAATGCACGGAATTTTCTAGTCATTTCATCGCTGACCCCCCCCCCCCCATTACAGTTCAAACAGTTTGAGGTGGTGGGCCGCCGCCTGCCCACCGAGCATGAGGTCAACCCCCCGCTGTACCGGATGAGACTGTTCGCGCCCAACTTTGTTGTCGCCAAGTCTCGCTTCTGGTACTTCCTGCGCCAGCAGTCCAAGATCAAGAAGGGATCCGGAGAGATCGTCCAGTGCAAGGAGGTGAGAACCTGGCCAGTGGATTAGACCATAACAAGCATTGTTTGCCTGATGTCTAAGCACATCTCAATCAACACGCTGTGTTCACTACAAAAGTTAGTTTCAGTATGCTCAGTTTGTGGAAATAGCTGCGGCCAGCTGAAGTCTAAGTGGCCCTGACCGGTGTGTGTCGATGCAATACCGTAATTTCCCGGTTTGGACTTTGGCTCACGTGCTGGGCGATATTGTAACTTTCTGCAATAATCGGCACAAACTTGGAAGGGATGTTACATTTCACATTGTTTGTTGGCAGCATTTTCTTAGTTTCGTGACCAATAGATGTAGCCAGCACTATTCCCACCGAGACTGTGAACTGAACCCCTTCCCCTTCTCCCCTTCAGGTGCTGGAGAAGAAGCCACTGAAGGTGAAGAACTATGGCATCTGGCTGCGCTACGACTCGCGCTCTGGCACGCACAACATGTACAAGGAGTACCGTGACGTGACCATCACCAGCGCCGTGCTGCAGTGCTACCGCGAGATGGGCGGACGGCACCGGGCGCGCGCCCACGCCATCCAGGTGAGACGACGACCGGGCACCGCCGGACGAGGGAGGGGGCCGACAGCAGGGCGAGGAGCACGGGTTCTTCTGTTTTTAGTGTTGACTTGAGTGACTGTGCTTTGCGGGATACGAATTATTACTGTGCTTTGCGGGTCGATTATTCTTTGTCGTGCACTGGGATCATGTTAGACTTGCTGTAGTTGCTCACTTCACGTTATCTGTCACTGATGCACGTTTGTCCAGTTGTGGTTCAGGATGTCGGGAAGACTCGACTGGGCATCGATATGTCTGATAGTTGCGTGTGCTGAAAATGGTCACTTCGTTTTTCACCCGGATCTTAGCAAAACGTGTTAAAGCTATGTTCATGAATGAAACGTGTTGAAGCCGTGTTCGTGAATATTGGCTTTTCATTTTACCACCTCTGACATTGACCGCGTCCCCTCCAGATCATGCGCGTGGAGGAGATCAAGGCGAAGGACTGCAAGCGGCCGATTGTGACGCAGTTCCACAAGGCCAAGATCAGGTTCCCGCTGGCCTACCACGGAGTGTTCCGGGACAAGAAGAGCCGCCGCTTCGTGCGCACGGCGCCGCGGATCAACTTCCAGTAAACAGACTATCGCCCACACACACGCAAATACACGATCATTGCGGAGCTGCGACTGTTGGTGTGGCGGCGGGGGGATGGGGGTGACGAGAGAAATGAACTTAATGGCTGCTGAGGGGTGGTGGGCGGACTGAAATTGCCGCCTACGCTGGTGGTGTCGCATGGGACAAACTTCCAAATGCTTGTTATTGAAGGTCGTCCATGCCTTTTTGTTCGGGGGGGGGGGGGGGGGGTGATCCGTTTGTTTATCCGAAAACAACCACAAGTCAGGACCCAGTTACGGCTGAAGTCATAACGTCTTGTAATACGAATTAGTGTGAATCCGAGTGAACTATTAAGGGCATTGACAATGGAATTAGATTCGCTCGCCTGTTCGGTACTACCATCTGCGGGGCTGGGTGCTTGGTGCAGCAGCGTCCTCTAGGTTTTGAGTGCTTGGAGAAGCGCTTCGCTGTTGAAATAGGTGACGTGACGCGCCGGTCGGTTTTTGCGGCCGTAATCCTGAGGTCGAGACGAGAGAGCCTTGCCTCGTTTACCTCCTACGCAAATACCAACTGATCGGAGATGACGGCAGCACATATGTACTGAAGAATTAGCTTCTTTAGATTCGATTTTGTTCAATAATTTGATTAAGTCCTGGTCAGGGGTTAGCTGTCAGGACGCGGGACGACAAAAGCCTTTGATTGACTCGACCACCGACTGCCGACTGGTGCACCTCAGGAGCTGATCCCGCCCCATTTGGCTAAAGGTGCTACCCCTGTGGGACAGGTCGACCAGTCAACGCAGGAAACAAGACAAATAATCAATGGTCATCATTCATCCGCTTGTGAGTAAATAGAACAACGCAGTGTCAGTCGGGTACAAGCGCTACAAATCGATTTTAGCGGCATCTATGTTCAGGCTCTAGCGTCACCTGTGTGCGGGTCGCCACCTCTCACGAAAAGTATGCTGCGGACTGCGGAGTGCTGAGGTGACTGAAGTGCAATAGCATCTACCTCCAGAGTATTTAGCGACTTGCATGTAAGCCAGTGCTTTTTCACGACCCTCAATGCACCGTGCAGGCTGAAAAAATGACATCTAGTCTGAGCTCTCCCTAGTTAGCCATTGAGCTGTGACTAGACAGTCCCATTCCATTGAATCGACTGAGTCGATGGACTTGCGGGCTGTGTTGCGTTTTGAGTCAACGTAACGGGTGGGGTGATTGAATCATGTCAGTCAAGGCAGCCCATATTCAGCCCAGATTCAACCCAGTTTGACCTGCCCAGGTCAACGGGCTCACATAACGAGAAGCGGTTTCGAGGAAAAGTTACTTGGTCTCACGGGCTACCCGATGGTATGCTTTGATTTGGAATTCGGTTGATCCTTATACTCGAGAACCGTTGTGCACGTGTATTTTCGACATAGCCCGCAAATGACCTTAGGTCAACGCATGACCGCAGGAGGTCAAATTGCTAATGGGAAAGTAAGATCAGATGGCTGCGAGTCGTTTGGTGCCGTTTTTAGCTCTCTAGCTCCACTTGGAAGGGCTATAAACTGCTGTGCAAATTTGGGCTACGTGACCTTTGCTGACCTCTGTAGGTCAAACGGCTGGGAGTGCCACTGAATGACTCGGACTGTGGATTGGGGTATGTCACGGCCTACATTGTGTGCGAGTTTCAGCTCGATCTGAGGTGTCCCGAATCTGGGGCTGAATCCGGGCTCAGTATGGGCCCTGACTGACATCATTGAATCGACTATAGAAAGTTCGTGCTTCGTGAGTTAGATGCAAAAATCATGTTTTTAGACCGTATTTCTACGCTAATCTATCTTCCACACATCTTGAACGGGATCATTTCTGCAATTTTGTTGAAAGTCAGGAGGGCCCGAAAGAATCAGAACCCACGATTTGTGTGATTTGTGTGTTGGTGTCAGTGGGGCGGGGGGTGGGGCAGGCTGGGGTTTCAATCCCTCTCGCAACATCCGATTTTAATAAACCTGTCATTTGGCTTGCATAGAAAAAAATCAAGCGAACTAATTTTAATCGCACAGAAACGTGTAAATAAGCGAAGTCCGGGGATTTTTTTTTAAATTAAATCTTTATGGAAACTAGGAGTCCTACATATAAGGAGTGAGGTGGGGGATATATTCATTAACACCATCATGGTAAAAGACTTTCCGTGACCCTCCCCGTTATTCGTCCGAAAACAGATTGCCCTCGAACCCATTACATCAACATCGCTGACCAGCAAACCGCCGGACAAATTTCACCGCCGTTTTACAGCTGCCCTGCTGCCATCCCCGTTTGCATTGTGCCGTTAAAATGCGTGCATTTCCGGCTGCGAAACATCCAGCAGCTGACAGCAGACTAGCAGCTGTCGTGCGGGCGGCACACGCACAGTTCGTACCCCTCTCTCTCTCCCCTGGAGAGAGGGAAGGAGAAGGGTCATCGTTCCGGCTGCTGCGCACTGCGTAGTGCGTAGGCGGTCGTCCGTGCTAAGGTCACAGGGTGTCGGTCAGGTCCGGTCGAACGGGCCCGCCGCTAGCCGCGTGGCTGATGAGCGTTTGGCATGCTGAGTCGGTAGGTTCTACATAAATGGTGACGTTTCGTCGGCGCAACCTTACCCGAAACGGGCTAAATAAGCAGATAGGATATATTTGTAAAATTCATGCAGCCTTCTAGTTCTGAATGACAGCCTTTAATCATTATCTTATTGCAGTGGGCTTTTTTTAACAGGGAAATTATTTGAAGCCAGAGCATCTACTTCGCGTCAACCTGAATGAAAAATAATATCTTATTTTGCTTATTCCCCTACGCGGGATCCCGTGCCCCCCCCCCCCCCCCCGACTCCACCCGTTGCGGTTGCGGTCTGCGTGTGCGTGCGGTGGTGTTGGCCGATCAGGGGCACGCTGCGATCATTACTCGGCGCTCCTCGCACCCCGCTGAGTCGAATCGAGCCCGGCGGCCGGCCGGTGGGTCGCACACCGTTATCGTCCCGATCGGCATCAGCGGCCCGGCGCGCAGTGACCGAGCACCTCCGGAAGGGTAACGCGAGACAGTGCTGATGGAAGCCGACACTGGGCCGTCAGTCGGCACCTTTGTGATCGGGCCGGTGTTACATCGAGTTATGGGTGTCCCGGTGAATGCGCTACACGGCCCCGTCCCGTGAGATCACCGGCCGGCCCTCGGCCAGAAAGGGGTGGACCGCTATGGCACTAATGTAGTGCAGGTCGTCTGTTTTCACACGTCCGCCGGGCGCGCACAAATCTCCGGCCCGGTTGTTTTGTGTCACCGGGAGCGGCCCGGCCGCGCCGAGACCGTTCCCAGGCGTATCGGTTCCAGTAAAAGTGTTGGCCTACATCTCTCCCGTGAGACAGCGCCGTCCCGGCCGCACGGAACCCTTCCCGGGCGCCCGCGCCGCCCATTCAGCCTCCATCCGACCACGAAGAAAGGCCCCAGGTGCCGGCCGCCATTTTTAAAGGGCCAGGTGCTCTGCTATCTCGGGCGTCGTAGTCGCCGGGCGGTCGGTCCCCTCTCCCCGCACCCCGCCCCGCCCCTGCTCTCCTCTCCCGGGGCCGGGCGCACACAAAGATAGCGCCAGGTGGAGCCAAACCCAGCCTGAAAGGGTGTTTGTATAACGAGCTGAAATTCTAATTTACCCGCCGGCCGGCCCGGTCGGAGCCTGAAGGGTTGCTGGGGAGGGAGATCCGATGCAGAGCGAGGTGTCTATACACAGGGCGGAGGTGGGCGGAAGCTCCAGGAGCGTGCCATGCCATCATCTCGGGTTTTTGCGAATGCCCAGACGGTTTCTTTGTCTGACCTCCGCCGGATGGAATCAGATGGGCCTTGCTGATCTCTATCTTTTAATTTGATATGACCCATGAACGGCGAGAGGCAAATGGTGCGTATCGCATCGTTACACAAATCGAAATCAATTGTATGGGGTTCAGGTTGCGTAACTTCACTATCATATACCTCATTCATTGATGAGGAAAGCGGCAGCATCTCGACCTCCAGGGAGGTCAAAGTACCGCACACCCTAGCCCTTTAAACAAAACATTTCCCCTCGCGGTGTTTCATCACATCTCGGACACAATGACCGCACCGTTGCTGATGCTCCGCCCGATACCGGCCCTCCCGCCAGCTGCCGTTCGCCGAGTCGGGTCTCCTCCCAGGGCCTCCCTCTGTCTGCAACAGCGCTGCGCCGGCGGCCACCGCAGCCCGGCGCCGTTTAAATGCCCCGAGACGGTCAGTCGGCAGCTGCCACCCGTCACCCCGCCCGGCCGCGGTCCGGCACCGCACACAGAGAGAGAGAGCTATCTGGGCAGCGCGCGGCGACCCTGGCCGCGCGCCGTGAGCGCTGCACTGTGCACACCTGCCGGCCGTGCAGTGTGCACCGTGCATGCCGAGCACGTGGCCCCAGCTGCTCCCGGGCCGAGCGGCAGGTGACGGTGCGGCGCCCGCCGCCAGCCCGGCCGCGAGTAATTGGTGCGCTCTTGACCCCGATAGACGGTAGCACTTTCGGTGGCATGGTTGGATGGGTGGGCTGCTCCTGGGCAGTAGGGCTAGTTTCTATAGCGCTATCACTATACCTTCATAGCCACCAGCACCTCAACTACAGCTGCCATTCGCTCGTGCACCCAGAACTGGGCTGCAAATCGGCTCGCTATTCGATTGCATCTGAGAGAGGAACGAATTGGCACCACCAATGAATCGATTTCCTCGCGTGCACGGCGATCTGCTGAGCAGTCCGATGCCCCCGTAGCCCGACGATCCCAGCCTCGGGCTGCGAAGAGATGACTCGGAGAGTCGGAGTGATCAAAGGACCGGTACCGTTGCGCCACAGTGCATTCACGCAGTTCGCGCTACCCCGGTTTCCATCGACATTCCTCTGGCAGTGCCGGTGAGCTACTCCGGGACGCAGAGCGTTGATAAGGTCATCAGCTAATGAGATGTGTGTGATGGTCACAATCAGAAGCGCTGGTTCAGAAGATGGTCGATATCGCTGCGCGAGGTGTGCGTGAGGTGAGCTGAGCTGCTCTGTGGCAGGGCAACGTGCAAGATGCTGCAA